TCCATGGGCAACACGTTCCCATGTTTGCTGCGAGCATGCTGAATAGGATTTGCAGTCAAATAGGAAGCCGAAATATTATCACACAGCAGATGCACAGGTTCGGTGATGGGATAGTCGAGCTCAAAGAGAACAGATCTTATGTGTAGTGTATCCTGAACTGTGTAGGCAATAGCATGATACTCGGCCTCTGTGGATGATTTGGATACAGTGGACTACTTTTTGGACTTCCAGGAAACTAAATTAGGACCCAAAAAGACAGCAAAACTTGTAGTGGACCGTGAGCTATCAGGACATCCGGCCCAATCTGCATCTGAGTAGGCAACAACACATGTGGTCGATCAGAATGCTGGAGCCATAACCCATGATCATGTGTTCCCGGCAAGTACCTGAAAATTCTTTTGACTGCAAGTAGATGAGTAGTACGAGGGGTATGCATGAACTGAGAAACTAAGTGTACTGCATAAGTAATATCTGGCCGTGTCAAAGTTAAATATCGTAACGCACCGACCATGCTGCGATACTCGGTAGAGTCCACAAGTAACTCGCCATCAGAAAGAGATAAAGTAGTGCGAGACGCTAATGGTGTGCGAACAGGTTTAACCGTATGAAGATGAAAACGAGCTAGAAGATCATAAACATATTTATGTTGAGAAAGAAACAAACCTTTAGATGAACGAGTCGCCTCAAGACCCAAGAAATAATGTAAGTTACCCAGATCCTTCATGGCAAAGTGATTAGAAATAATAGAGATAAAATGGGTAACGGTAGACACAGAATTGCCAGTAATAATAATATCATCTACATATAATAATAAGTAAACGATAGAATTATTATGGCGATAAATAAATAATGAATTATCAGATTTACTACAGGAAAAATTATGCTGCAGTAGAAAGCTACTAAACCTATGAAACCATGCCCGTGGGGCTTGCTTAAGACCATAAATGGCCTTGCGCAAACGACACATATGGTTAGGAAATTGAGGATGAATAAATCCACGGGGCTGACACATGTAGACTTCCTCTGTCAGATGACCACGTAAAAAGGCATTTTTAACATCAAGCTGACGAATAACCCACCAAAAGATACAGCTAAAGTGAGTACGATACGAACTGTGGTGGGTTTAATAACAGGACTAAAAGTTTCAGAAAAATCAATACTAGTCTGTTGATTAAATCCCTGAGCAACTAACCTAGCTTTATGACGTTCCACGGACCCATCAGAATGATATTTCGTTTTATAAATCCACTTATAGCCAACAATATTCTTAGTATTGTCAAAGGGCACCAAATCCCAAGTATTATTATTAATGAGTGCATTAAATTCATCAGCCATTGCTTCCCTCCATTTTAACTGTTTATTAGCCTCAATAAAACAAGTGGGATCCGCAGGAATGACAACTGTACTGAGATTAAAAATAGTTTTAGGTTTGAAAATTCCTGCTTTGGCACGAGTTTGCATGGGGTGCTGATGAAGGACCGTAGGGGGCGCAATGGAAGGGGAGGAAGGAGGGCTGGTCGTGGTGTGGAAAGACTCGGTCTGGGAGTAGGAGTTGGGAGTGGTGATCCTAGTGGGAGATTCGGAACCAGAAGGAGGTGGACTCGATCATAAAGACGTTGGGGTGGAGCCTACGGACTGGGAAGGAGAAGAGGACGACAACGGGTTGGATATGGACGGAGTGTTGGCTGCAGGCTGCAAGAAGGATGGTGGAGAGCTGGTGAATTTTTGTCCTGTGGCTGAAGGCTGGGAAACGAGTGGAGATGGAGCAGATGATGTGAGTGATGTGTCGGTAAGAGCCATAGGGGACGGTCGGTTAGGGGAAGGAGAAGGAATAGGCTGCCTAATGGTTTGAAAGGGATATGTATCCTCGTGAAACCTCACATGACGACTGACATAAACACGGCCTGTAGTAGGATCCAAACAACGATAGTCCTTGTACCCTGGTGCATAGCCAAGAAAAACACATTGAACAGACCTAGGTGATAGTTTATTAGCTGATGTGGCTGAAAAATTGGGATAGCAGGCTGACCCAAATACACGCATAAAAGAGTAGTCAGGAACTCGGTTAAAAAGTTTTTGGTATGGAGAAAGTCCCTTTAATGTAGGAGAGGGTAGTCTGTTAATGATATATGCAGTTGCGAAAATTGCATCAACCCAATATTGACTCGGAACGGAGGCTTCAAGAAGCATAGTTCGAGTTAATTCAAGAAGATGACGATGTTTTCTCTCAGCCACCCCATTTTGTTGAGGTGTGTTAGGACAAGATTTTTGAAAATAAATTCCATTAGCTAAGAAAAATTGCTGCATATTATGATTAACGAATTCACCGCCCCCATCACTTTGAAAAATTTTAATTTTATGATTAAAATGATTTTCAACCAAAGCTTTAAAATTTTTAAAGTGCATAAAAACTTCACTTTTGTGATGCATGGGATAAATCCAAGTAAATCGAGAATAATCATCAATGAAACAAACATAGTACTTGAATCCCAAATTAGAATAAATTGGAGACTGCCACACATCAGAGTGAATAATTTGTAAAGGAAAAGAAGAAGTATGACTAGCATCCATAAAAGGCAATCGTTGTGATTTTCCTAATCTAAAAGCAACACATTCATGGGTAAAAGGAGAATGACTACATAAGAATTGTCGACGTTTAAGAAATTGCAAAATATTATCACCATAGTGACCTAATCTACGGTGCCACACATGGCCAGAAGCTAAAACGGAAGCTAAAACTAAGGATGGAGATGATGGCAGACGCAAAGGATAGAGTGACCCACTACTGGAAGCTTGCAGAAGAATTGCCCCCGATGCTTTGTCCTTAATAAAAAAGAATTTTTATAAAAAATGACAGTACAATTATTATCTGCGCAAAGTCTTTGAATTGAAATTAAATTATATTTTAACTGAGGCACATGATAAACAGATTTTAAGGTGAGAGAACGACCAGAGGAAGGTAATGCAACATCACCAATATGACAAATGGGTAAATGGGCACCATTAGCAACACTGACAGAATTATAGCCAGTGTAAACAAATTTATTTTGTAAAATACCTTCGGATGCAGTCATGTGAGTCGAGGCCCCCGAATCAGGATACCATAAAGCGGGATTAGATTCTCCAGGACTAGTCAACAGAGCAGGACTAGATGGCTGGGTGAAGCGAGAGGGACAAGTAACAGCAGAATGACCTGCAGAAAAGCAAATTTGCCATACAATGGGATGGGGAACAGAACCAAGAATACCCCCGTCTGATGGCAAGCCTGCAGAACTAGAATTAGTAACACCAACATGTAATGCATTAATATTTAAATGTGACAAAGCAGAACTACAAATAACAGTACTCGTAGTCGACACACCCCCTGCATGTGGAGCAGACCCGGCTGGAAACGAAGGAGCACCCCCTGCCGGGGCATAGCCCGGCTGCCCCTGCTGCAGATACCAATATATGGGCTGCCCATATTGACCCCCCTGCTGTCCTCTTCCGCACCCACGGCCTCCGTGTCACCTGCCACGACCGCGACCGCGGCCACGTTGCGGTTGGCCGTGTGGACGCTGCTGCTGTGTTCCCGATTGGTGAGGCCCATGCGGCTGCTGTCCCGCCGGATGGAACCCTGTCATAATAGCACCGAATGCCTGGTGCACGGATGACGACTCTTGGGAGCGAAGATAGAGAACCCGTTGGCTCTAGCTCAAGAAGATGATTGCGTAGGGTCGCAAAAGGAAAATTTTGAGGAAAAAGGGAGACAGTGGTGAACAGGGACTCATACTCCGGTCCCAAGCCCATAATAGTAGTTTTGAGCACTTCGTGAGGAGGGACAGGGCAATTAATCGTAGCAAGATCATCAACCAAAATTTTAATCTCCCGTAAATAATTATCCATAGATTGATCAGGGTTCTTTTTAATTTGAGAAAATAAGCGCTTTAATTCCATAGATCTGGCCAAACTGGCTGATATAAATCTAGACTCTAACCGTTCCCAAATGTGACAAGAATGTTTTAAATCCCGAACATCAATGAGAACATCACGAGAAAGAGTGGCAAATAACCATGAGCGAATTGTTTGATCAATACGTAGCCAAGTAGAAAATTCGGGATTGGGAATTTGACGGTTGAGCATATCTATGGAATAAGCAGATGATACCTAAATGGAGCCGTCAACCATGCCAAGAAGACCTTGTGAGACAAGAAAGGACTCAAACTGGGTACGCCAAGTAGTATAATCTTCCACTGCTAGGAGATTTGTGGTAACAATATTGGTGACATTGGTAGCGACATGAGAGATGCTGTGTACAAGGTCTGCCCAGGGGGAACCGGCTGCACTGCCCACGGTGATCCGAGGAGGGGGTAGGGTAGAGGAGACACCTGGTGATCCAAAATTAACCTCAACACTACTACTATTGCAACTACTTTGGCAACAATGATTCCAAAATAACAACAAATATTTTCTTACTTGTATTTTGGGAGGAAAAATATATGAAAACTATTTTGAATTTCTGAATCATCTTTATTCGTATATGGGGAACTTTTCCAAAAAGGTTTTGTTACTTGTGTATTTAAAATAATATGGACCGTTAATAGGTGTATCTTGAAAGGATAAAGTGGAGCTAGGAAACATGTCCATATCAAGCTAACAGTAGCAAAGAACCAGTTCGATCATTCCATTTTTTTTTTAATTTGCTTAATTCAAACACATTTCACCATCAATAACCCAACGCCACCCTTCAGTAAAGTGGACGCCAAGCTTCAATAATTTCGAACAAATCCAAATTGTCACTTAGCTTCTTTGTTAATAGCCAAATAAACTTCACTTCTTTTTCCAACTTTTAATTAACTTTTTGAAAATGCATGGCACCACATTTTGATAATAAAATAAAATCATCACACCATTACTAACAACCGATCCTAGCTAACGTCTGTTCTGCACTTTAACACGTTTATTACGAGTATATAAATACCCACACACATGCATACATCCAAGTTATATTATTGAACTGACATTAATAGAAGTTGGTCTGGCGGTTGAATTGGTACGTCTTCATAACAGAGAAACGTTAATTACCCTGCAGGGGCGGCGCAGATCGGACATGGAAAACAGCAGCGCGGAGGAGGAGGGGGTGGCGGCGCCCCGCGGACGCGTCCAGATCGACACCACGAAGCCATTCCGGTCGGTGAAGGAGGCAGTCCTTTTGTTCGGCGACAGGATCTTGGGTCCTGAAATTTTTGCCAAACAAGTCACTACTCTTCATCAGGTTTCACTTTTTCTCCGTTCATACTACGTACCACGTACTTCCTTTCCTATCTACGTATGCAGTAGTTAAGAAGCCATTCCATCTTAAAATGCGGCATTACAAGACTTTATCAAATTTAATTTTTTCGTGGCTTTACAAGACTTTTTAATATAATTTAGATATACATAAATTTTATTTACTAAAAATAATTGTATTGTTGTACAAGAATCTCTTAACATTATGACCAATCAAATATAAAAAACTCAACGGGGACCGTTACCCAGAATGGAGGTAGTATAAGATATTCATTCCATCTCTTTTATTTGAGTATTGTGAATTTATTTTTGCCGTGCAACGCACCAGTTCATCATCTAGTCTAATCTAATCTAATACTAATATTAAAAGAGAAACCGAGGGTATAATTGCTCCTGCCTAGTTACGACTGCACAAATATGCAGGCCTTGGTGTACATAATAAATGACATAGAAATAAAATTAAATACACTTTACATTATAAGGGTTTAAATTTGGCTCACAAAATAAAATTGAAGTACCCATAAATCAGTTACGGTTATCTGTAGGGGTGGGTTCGGTTCTTTCGGTTCGGTTTTGACCTAAAACCAAATACGGAACCAAAGTAAAAGTCCGGTTCGGTTTCGGTTCGGTGTTACACTCCAAAACTTCAAACCACGGTTTGATTGGTTCGGTTTGTTTCGATTCGGTTTCGATTGTTCGGTTTTTTACTAAATATTTGTCATTTAATTTAAAATTGATATAAAAGTTGGAGGGATCAAACATATTACATAAAAATGCAAGCATACTTGAACAAATGAAGAAAATAATAATAAACAAATATGTCTTGAATTATATGAGTATGCGGGAGAGATAAAAGTGTGTATCTATTCTTAATTTACAATGTTTGTGACTAGTTTGAAAAACGTTTATGAATACATACGTCCTGTGTGATTTAGCCGAGATGAATATTTATTTGTTTTATCAATATAAAAAAGTTAAGTTACAAAAAAGAATTAAGTTACATAAAAATAAAAGTTAATTACTACTAATAACTAGCAAAAACATATAATCATGCAACAAATTGCAACATACATACATAAAAGACATAATAGATCAAAATAGCTACATTATTATGGGCAATGAATGTGTAAATGCATTTATAAACTAAACTAAACATAGCATAAACATTATTTCTCTAGCACAAGAAATTCAAAGATTATTGATGATATTAAGATTAATGCTTATATTTAACAAATAAAATTTCATATTTTATTTATGTTCGGTTTGTTCGGTTCGGTTCAGTTCAGTTTTGAAGGGTAAAAACCAAAACCGAACCAAACTACTACGGCTCAGTTCGGTTTTTTACATTCAGTTTCGGTTTTTATCGGTTCGATTTTATTTGGTCGCGGTTCGGTTTAATTTGATTCGGTTTTCGGTTTTCGGTTTTTCGGACCCAGGCCTAGTTATCTAATTCATCAGTTACTGTTACCCGACCCGACCAATTACAGTTATTCATCGCCCCGTCAGTTACAGTTACCCGACCTGACCAATTACACTTGCACGAATGACCAATTACCGTTACATTATAGTTAACCGGTACGCCTAGCTAGTTAGAGTTACCCGATCGGAATTTTACTGGTGCTAGCCACCACTGCAAGGTAACACCGCCTGCCGCCGCTGCACGCCCTATGGCAGTCCCCACAACCACATTATTCGGTCCCCAACCACTGCACACCATCGCCCCTCCCCAACGATGAGCGCCCCCGCCCCGACAACCCCCTTCCCAACCCCAGCCCTTGAACAACCATATTGCAATCGCCGCATATCACCGCTACATCCTTCCCCCAGTCCCAGCAGACCACCACCCTCTCCAAAACACCTAGCCGCCACGCCGATTTTATGTCGTAGACTTCTTTTAACCCATGACTATTTGTCGCCATCGCAATATGCCAGACAATAATTGAGAAGAAGAAGAAGAAGAAGAAGACGAGCAGCGGACAATGACCTGGAGATGGAGGCAGTGACCGGAAGACGAAGGAGAGGTGGCGACCTGGCTTCGGAGGCGGAGACCTGAAGATAGAGTCGAGACTGCGAGGATCTGGATTTGCGAAGGACAAAGGGGGGAGTCGGGAGACAATGGGTTTAGTTAGTTTAGAGGGTATTTGAGTCCATTCAATTTTATTTAATCACTTTTCATCCAAATTAAATTAAGTCCTAGTCTTATCCAGAGGAAAGTGGGGAGTCTCCTTTCCGTCATTGTTTCCATTTATTACTTTAAACGAAAAAAGGTATTTGGGGGGGGATTGCATATATAAAGTTAGCAAAATTTTGCGGGATGGGGGAGTTATCATGTCTAAAATGAATATAATTGGTCCATATAATTATTTACTACTTTGTATCTATTTATGTTTAGACCATCTAATCGTTTACCACTACTAATTATTGGCCCATCTAGACGAGATACAATATTTTGAAAATATCATAAAGTATGTCTTATAAAAATGAAAACATTTCAAGCCAGAGTATCTATTTTCTTATAAAAAAATTGCCTAATAGTGCAATTATTAAGAACATTTTTACAGTAAAATATTATATATAACTCAAATGCATGCATATATGGAAATGCAAAAAAATAGCTTCACATCTTAAGTAATAATATGACTATGCTCATTTTTTTATAAACAGTGTTATTAATATATTTGAATTTTATCATCTAGATAAGTTTTAACTCCACAGTTTTGCACTCATATTTATCTTAGTATCTGTTGTTCATATAACACATATGGTGAGATGGATGGAGAGAGATATTATGGAATTAATCTTTTTCACTTCTAGATGAAAATGTTTAGAAACTTTCAAGCTGAAACACATGCACTTCATTATTCATGAAAAGTGATATGATTTTTCATAATTATCACACATGGCAAGTACCCGAAAGATAGTAAAAAGTAATGTATTGAATAACTATCATAATTATCACTAAATGATATGAGATTGCAATATAATATTAATTGTTATCATATTCATTAATTAGACAAGATAAGTTGATGATGAATGAATGTTTATTTGGAAATTATATGAGTATTAGTTAGTGTATCTCCAACAACTATCATACATGGAATCTAATATAATTTATATCATATTTATACGATAAGTATGTTTATACACATTACTCATGTTATGAATTATTTTCAAAAATAAATTAACTTCATCTATTATCATTGGTGAATACTCATGCCACATGTTAAATGAAGATATTTGCCTACTTTTGGTCCTCAAGTATTGTGTTAGTGATATTTTTGTTATTTGACTTTTAAGTTTTCATTTTTAATCCTTTGACTATACTGCGAGGGATATTTTTAGTCTCCGACTTCAAAATTCTCCACACTTAATCCCAAAAGTATTATGATCTTGTCACAAGAAGTAGAAAATTGAAAGTGTCATAATAGTTGAAGAATAAAAAATTTCACTTTTTGAAAGACGAAAGACTAAATATTGAACATTTTAAGAACTTGATAAGTGGAAAAACAATCTAATGCTTGTCATGATAAGTAAACACTTCAAAGTCAATTGTCACTGACATGATATTCGAGCCTAAAAGTGGAAAAACAATCAATCTAATGCTTGTCATCAAGTTGTCGACTATCATGGATTACCTCTTCTCTAAGAATAATAAAAATGTCAATGGTACACACGTAACATGAGTTAGCGTACACGTACAAAGTATTCAAGTGTCTCATTGACGTGATAAAAGTGGAAAAATCAATGAATTAAAGTTCAACAATTCTTAACGCAGACAAAATTTGTACACACTTGACACACGTTTATATTTGATTGTTTGTGTACATAGACAATTACTACATGAGTTGTTTGTATACACAGACAACTAGCTAGGAGGTGTAGACATTGTCGGTGAGCATACACAATTAGGTACAAATATGTATCAAGTGTATGCATTTCGCATACAAAGAATTTTTCATTAAAGTTTGTCATCAAGTTGTTAACTATTGTGCCGAATCTCTGACATCCCTATTTAAGTAAATACATACTCTAGTAATTTATGTGCTCTTTTTAACACTATCACCAACATCATTTAATAAAAAATTGTTTACTCAATAAAAAAGGATGACTTTATTTAAGAATTCTGGACTTCATTAATTGGAGTATCAATCTAAGATGGAATTAGTATATTACAGAGTATGTTAATGTGTAAATAAGCAATATAATTCTGGACTTAAAAATCCCCATGCGCCGTTTTAGTGTTCGAACTATTAGTTCAAAGCTTTAGTTGAGATGGAAAATGTACATCATTTAGTTGCATGAATGAATGAATTTAGGAGTAAACTATTTTAGGATCATTTATATATAAATATGCATGTGAAGTCAGGTACATACAGAAAGGGTAATTGGAGTTGGAGAAAAGCAAACAAGATTGGGAGCAGTAAAAGCAGAGCTTGAAGATGCAAAGAAAGGGCTTGAAAAGGCAAAAGAGGAAGAATTGTTCATGGCACATTGTCTCCAATCTCTTAGGGAAGAGCTTGAACAGACAAAAAGAGAAATCCAACAGCTCAAGGCGGCCGCAAAATATGGGCACCACAACAAGCAAGTAGCTTTCTTAGATCCTGAGATCGAAGAGCTCAAGTTCATCGAAAAGGCGCTCCCGAATCGTGAGGTCGACACTGGTCATGACAATGAGGAAGTGGAACTTTTTGAGAGAAAGAGGTCAGTCAAGTTTGCTAGTCCTCTAGGGCTGACCAGGGTGATCACTCCTCCAATAGATTATTCTGTCACTGAAAGTGATCCAGAAAAGACTAGTAGCCCTTCACAAGACAAGAAGAAGTTGAAGAGGAAGCATCTGATCCCTCTAATGGGAGCATTGTTTGCAAAGAAAAAGCAAAATCAATGATTCAATTCTGCTCATGTAAATCCCCTGAAGATGAAGGCCTTTTAGCTACTGTCCTCATCAAAACAAAAATGAAGTGAAAAATGGTGTGGTTCGTGTAAGATCGACACCATATCATCTTGGTTACAAGTTTTTTACCTAAGCATGGTTCTCAGTGCATGTTGTTCTGACGTATGTATTCACAATGTTCGGAAATGAAGTAGTTCTTTTGAATATGTTGCATAGCAGATATATAAAAATACTCCAACAATATAATTAAACGCACATACTTATTGTTGGATGTAATGTTGTAAGAGCATTAGATTGAGTCTTCTGAGACAATTATTCTTCTATTATTTGTCGTTCAATCGATCGAGTATGACTAGTACAAATTTTCTTAGTTACGACAATCCTCTTGGTACATTTAAACACCTAATATTAAAAGTTATGTAAAGCTTAACAAATAATGATCAAATTTATTGTAAAGCTTGAAACTCTAATACCATGTAAAAAGCTGTGAAGCGCGCGGAATGAAAAACTAGATTGGTTTGTTTAATCAACATAGTGCACAAGAGTTTATATAGGTGATAGGAATATGGCTTAGTAGGCTAATAATAAGAAATATTAATAATAGTAAGGGTACATTTAGTAATATAAATAGAAGGGGAAGGGCTGTTAAGTAATTAGCTATTTAGTTGGTTATTTGTTTTTGGACCCTGCGTGGATACCTTTTACTATAAATAGTAGACCAATAGCTAATTATGGCAGGCTGTTATTTGGATATTGAGTGTTGCCTTGGAGAGTGGTCTTCTCGAACAGACTTGTTGCCTTGTTACCTACGGGTTACCTTCTCTTATCAATATACACTTTTATCAGTACATTTTTATCAGATCTGAGTATCCGTGTACTGTTTTAGCTTGCATTTGTGATAGCTCTATCAATGGTATCAGAGCACTAGCTCCTGGGAATCAGAAATCTATTTGCGACGCAGTTTAGCTTCGTGACAGTGGTGTATGGTCAGAACGAGGTCAAAAATGGAGAATCGAATCAATACGCTGGAGCTGGAAATGAAAACGGGAATGGCAAACCTCACAGCGATGAATGAACAGATGCAGACGAATTTCGCAGCTTCGATGGCAACTATGAGCGAACAGATTCAAAACCTTCATGTTCGGTCACATGGGAGATCACGATCACAGCACCGCCAACAGTCGCGATCACCACATAGCTCACCGCCGTCGAGAGGTAATCCTGTTCATTCTCCCACCCCTACTCGTCATATTCATACGGGAAGGAAGGTAGATCTACCCCTATTTAACGGAGAAGGTGCTTACAACTGGATTGTGAGGATGGAACGTTATTACCGGTTGAACCATATAGATGAGGAAGATAAGGTGGAAGTCTGTGTAGTTGCAATGGAGGATCGGGCCTTAAACTGGTTTCAATGGTGGGAACACCAAGTGGAGGAGAGAACATGGGAAAGTCCGAAGGATGCTGTGATCCGAAGGTTCCAACCAGATATATTACAGAATCCGTACGGGCCGATGCTGAGTTTGAGACAAAAGGGGACCGTAAAGGAGTATAGGGAGGAATTCGAGATGGTCATAGCTCCCCATAAAAATGTAGACATGGGTATTCTGAGAGGTATCTTCATTAATGGCCTCAAGGATGATGTTAAGGTTGAACTGAAGTTATATAATTCCAAGTCCTTATCTGCCATCATGGATAGGGCGCTCCTGATTAAACAAAGGAATGATGGTGTTTATTTGAAGGGTAAGGATGTTGACAGGGTAAAGGGGAAGGATGAGGGGACCATGAACTTCAAATCAACAAATTGGGGTGAAGGATTTAAGGCAAAGGGTGGAAATTGCTGGCCCAGTACTAAAAAAAATAATGCAGATAACAAAGGAAAACAACCTTGGTACACCCCAGGAGGGGTAAGGGTGACTGAAATCAATCCCTCAGGGATAAAGCGAGTAGGACCCCAACTGTCTCAAGAGGAATACCAAGACAGGAGTGGGAGAGGACTTTGTTTCAAATGCGGGGAAAAGTGGAGTAAGGAACACACATGTAAGTTGAAGAAATATAAGCTGATTTTAGTAGAAGATTCAGAGGGTGAGGAGGACCAGGAAGGGACAGAACCAGAATTGGCTGAGGAAGAGGAGATTAATATGGAGTCTAAAACCATGCAACTTTCTGTGATGAGCGGGGAGGGGATACCTTCAATGAGAGATTTTAAAGTGCCAGGCAATCTGAAATGGGACCAGGGAGAATTACCGGTAGAAGTACCGATTGATAGTGGGGCTACCCACAATTTCATATCACAAAGATTGGTGGAGCAATGGGGTATACCATATCAGAACATTTCTGGTCACAAGGTTCAGATTGTAAATGGGGATAAGATCCCCAATAAGGGCAGATGTGAGGGATTAGGCTTAAGTTTGCAGGACACTATTATAAACCAGAAGTTTTATATATTGGAATTAGGGGAAACTGATTTGGTTCTTGGCATGGAATGGCTGAATAGTCTGGGGGATGTGGAAGTTAATTTTCAGAAACAAATCATCAAATGGCATCAGTTGGGAGTAAGACAGACTATCCAAGGAGACTCTCAGCTCAATTCTATTGAAGAATCACTGCAGACCTTGTCCCAGAACATACAGGACTCTAGGGATAAGTACCCCTTACTATGTAAAGGCATTCTGACAGAAGGGAAAGAAGAGCACCTGATGGATTTAGACTTGAAAACCGAAGTTGTTAATAATATCCAAGTTGCTATAGAATTGCTAGAGGGAATGAAAACTCTTTATAGAGCTTATCAATGGGCAGTCTACATTGATAATTCTCCTATGATGCAATCTAAAGCGGAGAATGATGAGTTGGATATACGACTAGAAGTAAATAGCTTGCTTGGGGGCCTCTTTGCTTTATCTAAATATGAGATCCAGGAGGCTTCTTATCCAGTATTTATGGAAGTCCTAAAGAGGTCTACGGAGAGAACATTTCAAGTTTGGATGGGTGTTCTTGAAAAGGTTATAGTTTGTTGGTTAGGTGATCCCTTTAGAGATGAAACTCCCCAGATTATTTCTATTTTAGGGAAGATACTGATGAATTCTGATGAAGATCTAGGTAAGCCAGATGCTGTGGTTCTCTATGATGTAGCAGCTGAAATTACTACAAGTGCAGCTGGATTTTACCTCGCAGAACCTTTATATGATGATATTAGTTACAAAGAAGAGGCTTCAAGTGTAATCCCAGGGAGTTCTTATATCCAGTTTCTGCCCCTAATTGCTGTGAAAGATGTTAAGATAAAAGGTCAAGTAATGAAGGTCATTGTCAAGCAAGTTGTGAGGTATTGGGAAGGAAGAGGTGCCAGGATGAAGTGGAAGAGGATGATCATGGTTGTTTCATATCATCCACCTTGAGGAAAAGGTGGTTGTTTAGGGGGAAGTATTGATAGTAATATGGCTTAGTAGGCTAATAATAAGAAATATTAATTATAGTAAAGGTACATTTAGTAATACAAATAGAATGTGAAGGGCTGTTAAGTAATTAGCTATTTAGTTGGTTATTTGTTTTTGGACCCTGCATGAATACCTTTTACTATAAATAGTAGGCCAATAGCTAATTATGGCAGGCTGTTATTTGGATATTGAGTGTTGCCTTGGAGAGTGGTCTTCTCGAACAGACTTGTTGCCTTGTTACCTACAGGTTACTTCTCTTATCAATATACACTTTTATCAGTACATTTTTATCTGATCTGAGTATCTGTGTACTGGTTTAGCTTGCATTTGTGATAGCTCTATCAATAGGACACATGAGTTCACAGAGTACAAAACCGAATCATATTTGATTATGAAAGAAATATGATAAGAAAAAGGGTACTACCAAATGTATTTGGTATTCCCAACATAATACTCCGTATTTGGTAAAAATTTCCAAAAAGAATTGTCAAATTGACTTTTCTTGATCAATGATAGTTGATGGTACCATGAGTCCTGTCCATGGCCCAATTGCGTTATCCAGCCCATAACGGGCTTAGCCCTTAACGGAACTAGTATAATGAGCGGGATTAGCCTATGGATGGGATCAAGCCCTAAAACAGGTTCATGTTAAAGAAGCCACTAAGCCCAATTAGGGATTAGGCCCACGATAGGAATCCATAGCCAGGCTGGGCTGGACAGCAGACCTCGAGCCTGGGTGGAGTTCTAATAAGGTTAGGATATTCCTAGGGTTTACATGGTAGGTTATTATTTGAGCATAGCTATTCCACAGCAGGCAGGACTCAACGAAAGACGTAAGCTCAAAAAAGACAATCATTAAATAACGAGCGAGATGCTACAGGAGTGCTCTTCGAAATAATATATGTTCCGTAGTTAATAGCATTTAATGCAGTAGTTTCCTTCGAGGATACCAGTTCTTGTAACCTATAAATAATTCCTGTAATTCTCCCAGAGGGGGATCGAAAATGATCATTCCAAATCATAATAATACTACCTTACGTTTCCATATTTCAATATCTTGATCAACTTAGCTCTCGTAGTTGGATTAAACTCCATCATTTGGTGCTTTCATTGAGAGCTGAACTCAAGATAACGATGGTTGGATCAACTAGTAACAATCGTATGGGTGGCAACCAAGGCGTCGACCGCTCCCACTAGGTCGTTGTTGAGGACGAAGGTTCAAGGTCACGACGGAGCGACTTCCGAAGGCGCAACGATAGCGTCGCCGCTCCAGGCGATTTAAGGAACCAAATCCAAGGCATGGGAAGCTCCAGGCAAACGGCGGTGCGGCCACCGCACTTTCAGACGCTAGGCCTAGAACAGAACATCCCCAATGTGGACCCGACACAAGCCCTAGCAGGTTTGGCTACATTTCAGAGAGCAGTAGAAACCCTGACTACCGTCTTCCAAGGCATCATCTCTGACCCTGCAGGGAGATCTCTCTCCCCCACCAGGTTCTGGCTATGGCTCTGCAAGGAAGGGAAGTATCCCCTCAACAACCTAGGGATCTCATGTTGGCCAGGTCCCAGCGCTCCCACAACTCCAGAATGACCCCAAGGGTTCCTGTGGCGAATCGAATAGGTGAGTAGCGAGTCCCTGTCCACGAGAGGCTCTCCTCCCGGCCCGAGCGCGGTGAGGAGGCCTCCTCAACCACTGTCTCGTCCCGCAGCTGCGGCTCGCGTTGGGGAGATCTCCGGGACTAGATCAACACGAATAGGTTGGCTTAGAGAGATAGCCGATCCCCATTGCCTGTCCGGGCAGGTCATGGCAATGACGACCTCAGGAGGAGGCTAGACGAGCTTAGAAGAGAGATGGAGGGGAGAGTCGGTCTCAACCATGGTGTGAGGATCCCCGAACCTTTCACATGTCAGATTATGGACGCGCCACTACCACAA